GATTGTTTCTTTCTTTTTATTTAATATGTACAAACTACGGAGTTGTACTATTGAACCCAACAACTCTTTAAAACAACAGCACATTTTTTATTAAAAAAAGCTGGAAATAAAGATTTTCAAGCACAACCTCTCGCCTGCACCCGTCGTTATCTTGATTTATGTTTATTAAGAGGGACTAGAAACCTGCAAAAAATGTCTAATATTATGTCGATACACACACATCTAGCATACACTAACACCATCGTGCGCGTCACAATATTTACGAGCGCGAATCACAAGCAATATATGCACAATACATGTCCACAGATATTGCGGCCTCGGCATCAATTCACAGGCGTTTGTTTCTAAACAAGGCTGACCATTCATTGCCTGTCAAACCCTTAACTCCTTTAGGATTTTTTTAATATTTCATTTCTTTTATATTTTTTTTAATTCTCAGGCACATCTTTTTTATTTATTAGTTAACAAATCAAGACTGTTATTTATCGTTGCAAAGTGTGGAGGAACAAATAAAGATGCAAATGGAAGTCTTACTGCTTCACGTATATTGTGACTTCCTGGTGCTGTCAGTTTCGGCAAAACCCTGGGATAGAGAACGTGCACAGCCGACAGAAACGCCTATAATTGCACCGTAACAAATATAAAAAAGACAAATAAAAATATTCGAGTGATTGAAGATATCAGTGGGATTGTTTTCAAGCCCCGGCCAAAGTATGATTAGATTATAAGAGATACCCAATACTCCACGGCGGCAAAGATAGGGGTCCTGATAATATATGCTGTGGTCGTCCCCTTCTATGTTCCAGTGTCTCGGGTTTTTATTACCATGAATCACCACCACCTCACTTGTTTTTTTAAGTATTCTTGCAGCATATTATATGTGCCCATATAGAGATATAGAACGCCGGATACAACTCAACACAAGAAAACATATAAATGTAAACTGGTCTTCGCCCCATTCATAAACATCCCGCTGAAGTCATGATATATCCCATTATTTTCCCGCAGATTAAAATTCGCACCCGATAACCTTAAAAAGTAACTTTAGAGAGTCGAATCTTAAAATAAAATGGAGAATCCACTCATTTACGGTGCTGTAATTTGTGTGTGCCAATAGTCCGTGTTGGCAAACGAGCACATTTCAACAGAGAGGAGCAAGTTGCCAACGAAGCAGCTTCCCCGAGGTGGCCCCTGCGTTCAGACGCCCCAAACGTCCTTGTTTGTTTAGAAATAAGCCGCCTGGCGAAGCTCAGAAGCGCACAGTATGAAGGACGACCACTCGAAAGACCAGAGTAGCTCAAATGTCGTCACCGCCATGACCACGCGAGAATGCCGAAGCCAACGGTCAATTCGTCAAAGCTCCGACTCCGTCGAGGATGGTCGAGGAAGCCGAGATCATGGGTCGTCACGTGAAAATAGTTTCGGAATGTGTTGAATTCTCTTTTTCTTATCTGCCATTTCCCATTTTTATTCAATTAAAAAAAAAATATATATGAACATTCGCGTGAAGATTACAGTAATGTTTATGTAGGTAACAGCGCTTTTTATAGTTTATTGTGTAGAAGCTACAGGTCGGTTGCCATTCAAGTAACTTGTAAATCGGGTATGTGCGTTTTAATTAGGGACTTGTGAAATATTTTTAAACATGTTGTAGGTGTAAGAGCACGTAACGGAAGGACTAAGAAAAAGAACACACAGCGCAGGACGAAGACCTACACCGTGTTGAACCTCCACAAACTAGCAGAGCTCTCTAGTTTGTTCTAACTTACAGTCGTAACAAGAATAATATGAGCATCACAACGATTGTTGTTGTAACCATTATTTTCCGGGTTATTTCGGTTTAGAAGTTACATTGTAAGTTACTGAGCTTAGAGTGTGCAGCTCACTAAGCCATCTAGGCTCATAATCACTAAATTCTATCGAAACCCGACATTTCACTGATCACGCCACCTCCGTTTTGAGAGACGTTGTATGGTGAGAGAGCCGAACATCAGTTTCGATTTCTTAGGTTTATTTTAAACAAAACATTAAGCTTTATTGAACCTTATAAAACGATTGAGTCTTTTGCCATGTCTCTAGAGACTCGTGAAACCCCTTTTCCCCCAAAAAAAAGTCCAAAATTGTCTTTATGGCTTCTTTAACACGCCTAAAAATACAATATAAGGTGCAGCGTTTGTATTTCTAAGTCAGTAACTCGACTTCGTGGCGGTGCAGAAGACCAAGACGGCTGAGGAAGAGCAGATTTTTGAAGCATTGAATCTCTTTTGACACTCGTGACATGTCTACACACACAGTCGGCGTCTCAGCCGGATATCCCCCCCTTTTTTTTTTAAGGATTTACCCTTGTCAGACTTAAGCGGCACTACTGGCGCATAAGTGCAACTAATTATATGCAATATTTCTCCGCCTGTCTGGTTTAGACAGTGGTAGCAAAATCACAAAGGCAATGGGTACAGTAATGCAATTTTGGTGACGCTTCAACAGGTCTCATTGGATGGTATCGATAGCTACGGTCGGACTTTGAGTGAACGGGAGTGTATCGCCACCGTGATCGTCCCTGAAATACGAAGCGTTTTGAACCAACAGCAGAAAATGCAACGCCCATTTTAAACAAACCGCCAAAAAAAAAAAACAAAAAAACACTTACGTTATGTATTATGTATTGCGCTCTCATCTGTCAGTGTTTCGGCTGGCCCACTGTTACATACATTTTTACGCCTTCTCTTATAGTTTCGCGTTGCGATTTGTGCAATTTTAAACATTGCTTATGACTTTCAAAAACAATGTGACGAAACTAATAAACAAACTAAGCTATTTTAGACTTATATCCAACTAAGATTGTACACCCATTTTTTCTAGCAAACACATTCGATGAGTTAAGTTTGTTCTTCCAAAATACATTCTAGCAAATACGGAAGTGTTTTGTATTAAGATAAGCATTTAGTAGTGTAAATTAATTTCTGAAAATTACCTTTCATCCCCCGCTCGTTAAAACGAAACGAAAAACTAAGACGTCGCTGACAGGTCGAACATCTGTGTAACTAAGTTGTTCACGGTATATACTTACCTCTTACTCCGCCCGAATGAGGAAGCACTTTCGGTGTGAATCCTTGCCCCACTTAAAGGGAACATGAAATGACTCTAAAATCGAATTTCATCCACCGATCGTCATAAAAGGTGTGAAAAGAAACACAAAAACACAAAAATAGGGAGCGAAAAAAGAATTCTTCGCTATAAAACTCTGAAAAAAAAGGAAACACTGAAGACTTTTGCGTTTTTTTTTCTTTCGAAAGGCCGAATACGCGTCGCCTATTGGGTAAGAGCCTACCACACCAGCAACGCGATCGTAAACAACAAATAGCCGGCGAATGTTTTCTGAAAGTTTTGATAAGTAATATTCAGATGCACATTTTGCAGCATAATGAGAGATGTGACGAAAATTGCTCAATTTGATAATGCTGAGAGCCAAGCGCCATCTATCGTGTGGTAAACAAAGTAACTACAGCACTTGCGCAGTAGGGCCGACAGCGTCGGCTCCTCTTGGTCGCGACGACCAACGAACGTTTATTTTTCTACGTGTTCTTCTCGCGCGCCCCGACTTCAAGCAGCAAAAAAAAAGTATTTGAAACAGACCACGACGAACAGGAACGCTGGATCCACAAACACCCGAGAAAAGCTACAGCGGCGACGAATCCACCGACCCCGACCAAGCGAGCTCTGCAGATAGGCCTAGCAGGCACTCCGACTCGGCGCAGCGTTGCTTCAACGGTACTTGGCCAAGCCCGTCTGCTCACGACCGGCTGGCGTGCTGAATGGAATATGCCCGCGCGACCCTTCTGGACGCTTCCCGTATTGTAGTTTGATCGGTGACCTCAATTTTAGAGGTTAGGTCAATCTCTTCCCATGTTTTCCGAGGCAGTGTTGACGAACACTGTCGCCGAAAAGGGGCTCTCGTCGATTCTATCTTCTTGTTTTTCGTGATAATAGAGCTCAAATAAACGCCGTATGGATTACCTTCGTAACACGGTATGTACATTTTGTTATTATTATGCCATTTTTATTCTGACAGACTGCACGTCACTGTCGAGCTATAACAGTTCGTGGGAGCTACGTGCATGACGGTTCAACCATCCTTTGTCGAGTGTCACGTGAGTATTGAGTTGCAATCGTAAAAGATCGGTTCCGAAGCGCTTACCAGCAGCGCGAATACAGCACTTCCATCAAACGCGCGCGTCCGCTCCGAGTGTGAACAGGTATTTACGTGGCTCTTGCTGACACTCGTAGTTCAAACGTATCTTTTTTTAACGTCAGCTCGCTCCTGTATTTCAGAGGCCGCGAAAAACGCCGCGGAAATTTGTTTCTATCTACGTGGCTTTGCAAACGACACGGGCCGCCTTTTACCAAGAATGACAGTTGGGCTGACTTCTGGAGTCTTCACCGGAAGGCTCGCCGCACTTCCCAACAGGCATGCCGGTGTATGGGACTAGTCCCATGCTGCCACTGTAGCGCAACATATCTCATTGAATTTCGCTCAGCTGCGATGTGTCCATGCCCATCGCGGCGATGGGAGGCGCCGATTCCGAAAAAACGTCGGCGACATCAGCGCCATCACCGCAGTAAAACCTACCCGCGCACTCCCAACCCTCCGCCGCTAACGCTCCCATTCTCCTACAGCCGCGAGAACTTCCGGTTAAAGTGCCAGGGTACGTCACGACCGTCAAAATTACCCCGCAACTTGTTTTGCGGTCAGCTGCAGAAAAAGATAAAGTCGATATTTCAATAATTTCTTTTTTGTGTAAAAGTTAATAAACCGAGAAGAAAACAAAATGCCTGTTCGGCATTCAGTGAACGCTGAAGGTTTAATGTAAAAGTTATATGTCAAAAGTAAAAAGGTCATTTCATAGTTTGTTTAAGTGAAATTCGCCCATAGAGAATCGACAACAGCGGAGGAAATGTTTTTTTATTCAGATTTCACACTGTCACCAAACATCCCGCGCTGCTTAGCAAGTTTGACCGGACTGCATAAAATCTGGCTGCATCACAACGCTTTTGAAGTAATGTGCCACATCATGAACACGCCAGTAACCGGCAGCATATTTTAAATGGCCGTATTGACTTTGTTTGCATGATTCTGTGCTGTCTTCGTATTCCATGTCAAAGAAAGCCACACCAAATCTAAGAGATGGAAATGTTCTAGTTGCTTTGCAGATCTGTGGATCGAGTCAAATTTCAAAACCTTAAAATGAATGCATGCACTCGAAGGAGGCTATGTATATGTTGCTTTTATGTGTAGCATGTTTACCATGCTTGACAAGTAGAGTAAATGATTCGTTGAATCTGTGCATGAAATAGTAAAATTATTTCGTGTTTTTTTGCGCAGATTAAAAATCGCAAATAAAGAAACCTTGTTGTCGGTAACAGGTTAAGAACCCAGTAGTTGCTTCGCCGTCAGTACGCGCTAGTTGACGCATGCCAGGCTTTCACTGAGCGGGCGACGAAGTGCAACAGAAGCCAGAATTCTCACGGTTAAAACGAAGCATCTAAGTCCTCTTTAACCTGTCACCGAAAACAGTTTCCAGTAATATGTACGGTAGAGAGAAACATTGGCCTAAACGCAATCTTTTTATTTATAAAACCTCGCGAATTAACGTTATTTGAGAGTCAGGAAGAAAGCCTAGAAAACACAAAAAATGTCGACAACACGTGTGGGAACAACTACAGTGATGTTAATAAATTAGCGATGCGCCACAAAATATTAAAGCATCTTATTCTACACGGTGGCGTACTCGGATGCGCAAAATATTGTTATTGACATCTAGAAGAATATAATCAAGCAAAACTCCGTGACAGTCTCCTGAAATGACAGGCACACCATACATGTGAAATGAATACAAACGTGAAATCTCTGTAACTAAAAGCTTCTGCTACGGCACTAGCCTTTCCAATAAGTCGGACAGAAAGGTTAAATATTATAGGTATATAGTTAATTACGCGCTATTAAATGATATCAAGTTATCCGACACACCAGGGACCTACTGTCTGAATTTGGAAGTGATACTCTTAAAGGGATACTTCAACGAAATTTAAAATATACACGTCGTGTTCAAATATAGGTTGAATATGACCCACAACATCCGTAAATGACAACCGCACGTTTGTATTTTGAGACTGGTGCCTGTGTTTTTCCTTATACACGGCCCACTCTGGCGAGCGCTCGGAGAACAGCCAGCGGAGAGCATGTGACGTCCAACGCAATCGTGACGTAGTTCATCTCAACACGAGCAAAGCTGCGGCGAGGCTGACGTCCAGAGGATGGCCTAATCGTTTCAGTCACCGAAGCGGCTGCTTTTGTACGAATTTTGAGTGACGGGTTAATCGTTTATAATCTTGTAGGGGGACAATAGCGACTTCTGCGACACACAAAAAGTATTCTTTGAGAAGAGGAAAGTTCCTTCTTCCCCTCTTGTCTCGTCGTGGCCATGGGCGAGACACTCGCCGTCACTAGCTGTCAAGGTTCCTAGACGGGCATTACAGGCGAGGCGTTAGCGACATCCACCAGGTGCTCTTTGCTAATCGTTTAATTTGTTTTAAAATTCCTTTTTGTGACTTTTTTAACAAGATATTGGTATGTTTGATGTGATGCTGCTCCTTTGAACACATATCGACCAAAAATTGAGCGCCGAAATTTCGTCGTAGTATCCCTTTAAAGTCCAATTTTATAGTGTTTTCTGCAACGTAAGTGATCCCAGCCTTAATTTATAACTAATGGACTGTTCCAGAAAAATAATTTTGTAAAAAACTTGTTCGAAGATTTGCAACCACCCGAAAATGTGGAAATGTCTTCTATAGCAGGCAGTGATGAAATTAATTCCAAGCTACTTGCCAAAAGACTAAGATGGTGCCCAGTACATTTGTGGTCGCAATCTTTTTTCACAATCAGTGCGAGCTTTTTAAGCTGCTACAGACTGGAAGGTGGGCGAAATAGTTTGACTTTTAATGCGAAACCATTAATTGTCCCGTGACACGCAGCCTTCGTTGGCGTAGCGAAATGAGCAATACATTCCCATTGACTGCGTCGCGTCATAGTTCCAAGGAAGCCCACCCCACAGAGCTGTCCTTCCGAAGCTGCAGCCCGCACGCCAATAAAAGGGGGAGGGTCACAGGTGCGTGGCCGCCCCCGTCTCCCTCTTTTCGGGCCATGCGGTAGGCGTGGCCGGAGGCCCCGAGGGAGGGATGAAGGTAGAGCGGGAAATTCCCGCTCCCGCTCCCTGTGCCCTACTGTATCACGTGTATACGCTCTGCCCTCAGCCACGTCGCGCCGCGTAGGAGCGCGGCCCGCTGCATGTAGCAACTCAAGAAGGTAGGGCGAGGGTAAGACGGGTTGGGGAGGAGGAAGCCGACGGAACGCTGGAGAAGAGAGGGGGAAACCTCCTTCTCTTTTTAGCGTTCCGTCTGCTTCCTCCTCCCCGGCCCGTCTTACCCTCACCCTACCTTCTTGAGTTGCAACGGACTATAGGGATGCGAAAGCGTTCCTACACGTGTAAAGAGCCTTGAGTGTACTCCTGTATTTTTTAGGTCAGACAATCGAAACTCTTTTTCATACTACAAGCCTATATTCACTACAGTAAGTGTTTCCAACATGCGTGACCACACCCATTTAAATGGCATACGGTTTTTAGAGGGAAACATCAATCTCAAACACCAACACGAACTTTTCAAGGGGCATTTGTGTGATACTCTACTCGTAGGCTATGTACATTAATTTAACATTTTAATCAACTTTGATTCTCAGGTTGACGCTGCATTTCTTGGCATTTTAAAAGCGTTTGATCGTGTACACCATCAGCTTCTGTTGCACAAACTCATTCATTTCGAATTGGATAAGAGTGTTGTTCTTTGGATTAAGGATTGTTTTTTCGATAGGACCTAATACAGTTATAAATTATTGTAATTCATGAGGTATTATTGTTTTTTCAGGTCCATCGCTGGGCTCGGTCTTTGGTCCTCTAATTATCTCGACATATATATTAATGTTCTTCAATCTTGTGTTTATTCTCCCATTCGTTCTTGTGCAGTTGATTGCATTATATATCCAAAACTTTGCAAGCATAACTGAAAAATTTAATCTAAAAGAAGATTTCACTAAAGTATGTGTCTAGGCTTATTTAGATAAACCCCTCTAATCAAAAATATATTTTCTTTAGTAAACAATGTGTTTTATGCACTCCTACACTTTCGACTCTAGGATCATGGATCTGTTTTTTTTTTAATAAATATATTGATGCTTATGTCGATTTAAATCTTCCAATTCAATATCATACTTTACCATTTTTGTCATCCTATAATAGCTCTCTGGATCACACAAAGTGTAATCAATATATAATTTTGGTTCTCCTCCTTCTCAATTCAGGAAAACAGGATTTCTCAATACTTCGACCTAAACTTAATACGAATTGAGCGTATGGCACCCCCTCAATCATATATCAATAACATAACTGTTGTTAATTTTTGTAAATGGAGTAACGCTTCTAATCCTTTTAGTATTCCCGTCCTTCAAGCACCATCTTACTAAAGAAAAGAACCGATTGTGGAGTAGGCCTTATTGCACAAACTTTGGGGCTCGTCTACGTTCTACACCGCATTTTTTACATGACTACTCTCCCAGAGGGTCTCCTCGCGCAGTCATCTTCATTTTCGCCTCGCTTTAAACACTCCCGTAAAATTGAGCCTGACGTCTGCCTCAACATTTTCGTTTTCTATTATTTTTTTCCCAAACTTGTGGCATGGTATTATCATCTGCCTAAGTTGTTCTACTTTCATCCCCGCATTTTATATTTTTTTTTTATTATTTCATGTATTTGTATATAATTCCCCATACGCTCACTTGCTCGCTCGCTTTCAATTAATACTAAACCTATTCTCAATTATTCTAACCCCCAACGTTTTCAGGCTCATATTTCTTGTAACTTAGTGTACATGACGTGTGCTTGATTAATTTGTACGCTTTGGTTGTTCGGAGGGAGGGGATAGATTAGTGATCGTTTCGTGTTTTTGCTCCGAATAATTTTGTTGAGAAGTGATTACTTCATACATTTAATGTTGCCATTTAACTCTTATTTCTGCTTTCTCCCTGGGTATGGTTTTTCAACCCATTTGTGATGTCAATGTATCGATAAATCAATAAATACAAACATATAATTAATAAAACTATATTCTAACATAATACAATTTTCTCAAGAACTTAAGTGCGTATCTCTCTATTTTTCTGCGTTTTTTTCCATTTTTGTGCCTATTCTTGCGAAATGTTTAAGGGAAGAAAACAGCAGACAGCGCTGCTTGCAATGTTGTGTGAAGAATGCTATGGAAGGATTACAGAGCGCTAGAATTCTCACCTTCCACTCAATTTCCTTAGGACCGTCATGAGTCATCGCATATCCCGCGCCGTCATGATAGCCGAATCTTGTGTGCTCCCGACTCTTAACACTAAAAGTGTAATCGTTTTTAGCATGGCACGCCTGTGAAAAGAGGATAGTGAATGTAGACCAGGGAATCTTCTTTTAGCATATATATATATATATATATATATATATATATATATGTATATAGGTAAAGTAAGGTAAATATAAAAACAATGGACGGGGAAAAGCTAATAAGTCAAAGATGCGTACTGTCGGAGTTACTAACTCGAAGTTTATTACGACGTTTCGAACTGGGACCGCTCGAAACGTCGTAATAAACTTCGTAACTCCGACAGTACGCATCTTTGACTTATATGTATATATATATATATATATATATATCAGTGTGTCGAACCGAAAAAAATACGGGTTCGGTTACGGTTCAGGTTCAGGTTAATTTATTTTGTTCCGGTTCAGCTCCGGTTCGATTAATTCGATCCGCGAACCGGTTCGCGAACCGGTTCGGGGCGCTGAACCGGTTCGCGAACCGGTTCGGAAATTATAAATGACAAATTGCAACATCAAAATAAATTACAAATAAAACATCTGAAATCAGCACATACGAAACGGGATACATCGTAGTGTAAGGCTCAGGGATTTCTACCAGGAATGGCTTCTTTATGTGCACTCAAAGGTTACCTCACCGACGTTTACGCATTCGGTCTTCATCTAATTGGGTCCGACGCAGTAGCTGTAAAATCCGCGACCTCCTTACAAACCCACTTACAAGTAGAACTCGCTAACTATCCCGCCACCTCGGCGTGTAAGCAATTGAAGGAACAGTGGGGGGAAAATACAGCTTTCTTTATTTGAACTAGCCTTCGGTAACTCAAATTAAACCCTTAAAGAAGTTTTCATTAAACAAATTACGGAATATGAAAAACACTGCACCGAACGCAACGCCAGAAGGACGTAATAAGATAAATATTAAAATAGAAGAGTTCGCTGTCTCACAAATATGTTAGCTTCTAAGTGCCTATACGAAACCGGATCCATTATTATCAAACTCCACAGCCTTTTGTTTTCTCATTCCAATGGAAGCAAGCTTCAAGAACTCGCGCGTTCTAAAAACGTGTTATGAAAGGAGCACACAGCAGCATTTAGGATTTACGAGATTGTAGGAAAATGAAATCCCGTGACGCGATTCTTTTTTTTTTTTGCACAGCCTTCCAATTCTCTTTCTTCCGTGCAAGCCGCGACCAGCGCAATACTGGTTCCTATGTCAAGATTCATGGATGCAGCGTTTGTCAAGATTCATGGATGCAGCGTTTATATTCCTAAGACTGAGTGGAGAAGAAAAATATATAATCGAGGTATGTGTCAGTTGACGGCACTTAAAAAACAAATGGCATTGATAGCACATTCATTGTCAACAGCGCGTGGCCGAACCGTTTTGACATGAGCCGGTAACCGTTATTTTTTTTCCGGTTCAGTTCCGGTTCGGGCTCATCGCGATAACAATATAACGGTTCGGGTTCGGGTTCAGTTCCGGAAAAAATACCGGTTCGGTTCCGGTTTTCGGTTCGGTTCGGTTCCGGTTCGACACCCTGATATATATAATGATAAAATGTCAGTGACGCTCCTAGAATCTGGATTTAAATCAAATCGCGAACATGAACAGCGTGAATCCTACCTAATTTACTGATTCAACGCTATTAAACAAGGAATAAATGGAAGCCCCCGAACTCTTGCCTCGAATAAAGTGCTAACGGACGAATAGCAACTGCGATCAGGGGAAATTTTTTTTAGGTCCTAGATTTTATTGTTAGCAGTGGTACTGTGTTTGTGGCCGGAAGTGGACCATCAACTTTTCTCTTTTATTTCCAGGTTTTGATATTTATGTTTGTTTCTAGGTTTAACATTGTTCCCTTCCAGGTCTAATCATGCATGCCCCACAAAACAACACAAATTGCCGTGCCGTTTCTTTTTTTTTTTTTGAGACAGCATTTTAGTTTGCGCGTGTAACATTCTTTTATTTTACGCTATCGTCCAGGTCACCCCTGCCCGCCCGGACACAAAATCACCCTGCGCCCCCTCTCAAGATTGACACTTGGCCCCGACCGACAAGCTTCTTCATCCGGATACGAACTGCCCTACGCTTCCCTCTCACGAAACCTCCAACCGTCACCCGGCCGAAATTTGGACTCGACCGCAGCATTGTATAAATACCACGGCGTTCATCTGTAAAAGTTCTTCTTGACAAAGGCCGGATTCCGGCCGAAACGTAGAAGAATAAATCGTCAGTTGTTGCTGTTTTCACCAAGGTTTTTTTTTTTGTTCTCAGTTATATATATATACCGGGTGTTTTTTAAGCTTAACAGAATTTTTAAAAGGAAACCAAGAAAGCTAGGTTAATGCGGTCTGCGCAGGTGAGTTATACGGTCCAAGGGACATAGTATAGGGGCCTAATTGTAGCTAAAATTCGTTAATTAACTTTTTAGTTAATGAAAATAGTCATATAGTTACAATTAGAAATTTGCTCAGTGTCATTGAAAACAACTAAATCAGTAATTTTCAGAAAGACTTTGAACGCGTGAGAAGCGTAGTAGTGTACTAAAGTTACCACTCGTGGAGCAGGTACAAGGATGGGCCTAGATAAGAGACAGAAAAATTGCGCGGGCGCCTTACCGCAACCGCCAGCTTTGGATATTATATCCCCCTGGCTGTACCTGCGCAGACCGCATTAATCTAGCTTTCATGGTTTTTGAAAAAAAAAAAAATTTGTTGAGCTGGAAAAAAACACCCTATATATATATGTGTATATATTTATATAACGGGCATGGTGGCGGGGGGCTGAAGGTGTGGGTATAGAAGAAGAAAAGAACCCTTAGTGAAAACAGCAACAACGGACGACTTAATCTTCAACGTTTCGGCCGGAGTCCCGCCTTCGTCAGGAAGAACTTTTACAGATAAACGCATTCCCTATAGCCAAGCTCATCGTTTCAAACGAATTTGTTCAAAAGAGACAGATTTTGATGCGAGCAGTCAAAATTTAAAGTCAGTGCTTGAGAAACAAAGGTATCGACCCCGTATAATCGATGATGCAATCAGAAAAGCCGAGCAACCGAACCGCGCAGACCTTATCAGCCCGCACCCCACGCAAAGCGACACACAGCGTACAAATCTATGTCTAACTTATAGCATAAACCATCCTAATGCAAATAATATCTTAAGACGACATTATAACATTCCCGAACAAAGCGAGCGCCTTAAACACGCGTTTCCATCCGCCCCTGGGGTAGCCCACAGACGACCGCGTAACCCAGGATGTCTGATCTGTAGAGAGATGCAGCACACAAGCACGGCCAGTAGCACGCACTAGCAGTTCTCGATCAAAATTAAAGGGAACTTAACATGCGCCTCGTCGAATGTCGTGTACTTATTCGAGTGTACGGTATGCAAAATGCAATACATAGGGCAGACTAGAACGGCATTTAGACTGCGCTTTAATAATCACAAATCTCACGCCAGAAATCTTCCGACACTGCCTCTACCCAAACATCTCGCTCTCCCAAAACACTCCTTTGATAAATTGTCAGTGACGCTCCTAGAATCCGGATTTAAATCAAATCGCGAACGTGAACAGCCTGAATCTTACCTAATTTACCGATTCAACACTATTAAACAAGGAATAAATGAAAGCCCCGGTACTCTGCCATCGATTAAAATGCTAATAGACGAATAACAAAAACAATAAAAAAACTTTTTTTTTTTTAGGTTTTAGACTTTTTTGTTAACAGTGGTCATCTGTTTGTGGCCGGAACTGGACTATCAACTTTTCTTTTTTATTTCCAAGTTTTGATATTCATTGTAATTCTTTTTTATTTCTAGGTTTAACATTCTTCCGTTCTAGGTCTGACTCATGCACGTCCCGCAAAACAACGCAAGTGACCGTGCCGTTTTTTCTTTTTTTGAGACAGCACTTTAGTGCGTGTGTAACTTTCGTCTATTGTACGCTATCGTCCAGGTCATCCCACAAACAACTTTCTCTCCGGTAAGGTGGCGTAAGCTATGGACCGATACAAAGGGCATAGCCAATATTTTTCATCCGATTCATCCACTAAAACAAGTCATTCGGCATCCGCGTGTTTTTTCGGATATTTTTGCTGTTATTTTTGCCGTTCTTAGCATAGTTTGTACTCCTGTCATGAGTCTTCAGGTATAACAAAGCTGTCGGGATGCCTGGCTGCTGTTGCGCTCCGAACGGCAAGTCTAGCTACGCGGGTGGACCGAGTTTCAAAGTTCACTTATTTTTCGACTGACCCTCTACGGTGGACGGCATGGACACTAGCTGTCCCTTGGAAAGATTTCATTCCGACGGAGTACAAATTCATAAGAATATTGCTTCTTGTATACTACTCTTGGTGTTTTAGTATTCGCAATTGTTAGCTAATGAAAAAGGGCAGTTTTCGAAACACGTTTGTTTTCCCGCCAAACGCTTGCCAAAGAAGCAAGTCACACATTTGTGTTCTTTTTGTCGTTTCCGTTACGAAATCCGTGATCACAATATATATATTTTTTTTATTGCAGGTGTACGAAAAACATTTCGCTCCAAGATACTTTGTTACAACATCAAGTTTCACACACGTGAAGACATTAAGAATTGTCCAAATGCCTCTGCCACTGGTTAAACTCAAACAAGATGCAAAACCTAGTTCGTTTCCAAAGTGCCCCGGATACCTGTCTTGAACGAAGACGTCAGCTAGGGAGGCACCAGGCAAGACAAGGGAACGCTTGGAAGCCGCATCACTCAACAAGACTCTAGAACTGTATAGAGACGAAGAGGAGCTACAAAACAAGACGCACAAAGTGATAAGTTTTTTTGGATTCCCTGATGCTCTTCCGAACCTCCAGACTTCTCACTTCTGCATTGTATGCAACAGAAACCCCACGTTTTTCTTCCTGGACCTCACTGATTAACGTGCCCCAGCTGTGGATTCCTCAGTGAAAGTGACAAGTGACCTGTGTGCTGAAGCGTATACAGGTGAAATGGGCGTTTTGAACCTTGGTGGTCTTAGTGTTCCTGCACACTTCCAGGATTTAAGGGAGTTAAGAGA